GCCGAGGGAGCAGCGCATCGATGGGCGGGCACCGCCCCGACCTGCTCGGTTCCTGAGCCGCCGGGTAGGCCCCAGCAGGCAGAGCCGGGGGAAGGCCGCAGAGCTCACCGACGGGCCCTCGCAAGCAGCCGTTTACGCTAGAAATCTTCCAAAAGCACCTTAAAAGTGACACGCGGGTTGGGCTGAAAGGAGAGCGAGGCCGCTGGTTTAGAGGGTTGTTGCCGAAAACTCCCAAAGCTGGGGGTTTGACAGTGCGCTTCCCGAAATACCCTCACGGCCTACGCGGCCGGCTTGGTACCTCAAGGACCGAGTTAAAGTGGGAACAAGTCCTCAAATCTATGAAACGGGCGCAGGCCGCTGTCACCAACACACACTCCTGTGTCAAACTGCATCAAACTCTCTGCGGTTTGAGGGGACTGACATAAAAGCAGGGTTTTTCACCGCCTTCCCATGCTGATGGCATCAACCACTTTCCAGCCGCTGGCGAGGACGGGGGGGCTTTGGAGTTGGGGTGGGAGCAGAGAAGGTAGAGGGTAGGTTGGGGGTGCGGATGGGAGTGCGGATGGGAGGGCAGGAAACCTGGAGCGCCACAGCTGTCAGGGGACACTTTTTTAGAACAAACAAGGCAAAAAAAGGCCACCAGTGCAGCCAAGCACAGCCAGCAGCGGAGTCTGTATTTCGTGCGAAGCTGGTGACTTTAGACAGCAGAGTGCTATGGCTGCAACACGGCACTCTCCTCGTCGCAAAGCTTTCAAAACCACGAGAGGCACTTAACGGGGTACTAAACTTGTTATCGGAAACCCCACACCGAGCTCTGTCCGTAGTAGGGAAATTCAGATCATGAAACAAGGAAATGAAAAGGGTATCAGGTTGTTTTATTGCTATTGTGTCTGCCCGCAATACAAATATTCACAAATTCAGACCAGGCAATTACAAAAATCTAATTTGTCTGTGTCATGTTTGTATGTGTACAATATACATAAAAAGAAATTATCTACAAGTAGAAGATAATTTAGAAACAAGTTCAAGAACGAAATAAAGACAATCATGGTCAAACATAGCCATTTATTTTCTCTTATAAACAGCCTTCAGTTTCTTATTGAAAAAAACCTAGAATTTAAATATTTTGTCCCATCACATACAACAATCTGTATACACTATTTACAACTCTCAAATAAACATGTTGCAGATTTTCAGACATTCAACTTTTTTTTAATCAAAAGCTGTTCTCATTTAAAACTAAAATATCAATCAGTGACTACGAACTGAAGCGATATTGGCACAGTCAGCTTACAGTAAGGGTTCTCATCTTGCATTTTGTATTTTACACCACACTTTCTCCCATATATTTTAGGATTCTAAAGGAGGAGGAAAGGTTAGTGTTGCTTTCATAATATCTTTTTTTTTTTCTCCTTCAAAAATGGCCTTTTATTGAAGCCTCATTCACTTTTTTTACATCCTTCTCTCTCTTCCATTTCACATCAAGGTATGTGCTTCTAGGTACTATGCAACACAACCACAGCATACCGAAGTAGTAAAACAGCCATGAAAGTAAGTGTTCCCTCCGCGACATGTCTCTGAAAAATGTCAGAAGTTGCAAATGTACAAAAATAAGAGTATAGTTTAGTGGCTATAAAAATTAGTTTCCCCTAAAAAATACATTACTCTATGAACAATTTAGGGAATTAGTTCTTCAAACAAAAAATGTAATTTGATATTTACCTAGACTGCAATCTTAACCTGGCAAGAGGCAATTATAAGAAAAGCATGAAAATAAAAAGGTTTCACTCTTAAAATAACCAATGTTAGTCTCATCTTAAAAGAGAAAATACCCAGGAAAAGATGACAGGCATCCACAAAACTGCTAGTGGTTTTAGTAGTGCAGTTTGGAAAAAAGACAACTCATCAGCAGTGAATGAAACATTCAGTGTAACAGGGAATCTTTTAGTGAAAGAAAAGCAAGGAGTCTGTGTTTGTGCTGCAGCTTTTTAAATAGTCCAGCTAAAAGGGGGCGGTTTATATACAGTAACATAGCACTATGGCACGTAGGAACAGGGGAGAGGGTAGCAAGAACTATCCAAAAAAGATGTGTTTATAGTAAAATTGCATCTGGTGATGGGGGGGGGGGCGGAAGGGGCTTCCTCAGCAAGAAACAGAAAGGAACCATCTGAAAGGTAAGTAAAAGTCCATAGCAGCAAATAGGTATTCTTACCTGTTAAAGGAGTGTCAGGGAGATTGGGAGAGTGTTCAGTTCCTAAATACTGAATAAGGACAGTGCTCCTCTGTGTCTCAAAGTAAAAGCAAAAGTTCAAAGCTCTACATTGCATAGTAAGCAGTAAAAGAAACTTGATACTTCCAGACGGGCCACCTGCCCCTTGAAACCTGTTTTCTCCATCTACCATTCAGCTACCTGCAACAGCAGAATGTGGCATTTTTATTTTCTATTTGCATGATTAACCTGTATCCCTGACTTGAATTTGAAAGACTTGAAAAATTATGTCTGCGAACATAATGTATCCACACCATCTATCTGAACAGTGTCAACACTGGCAACGGTGGCTGAACGTGATGAACTTCAGAGTTTGCCCCATCCCATCTCGAGGTAGATGACCTCCTGAAGTTACCACCCAAATCACTGACACAGTCTAATACGCTGATAGTTGAAAAACACCACAAACTGTAGAATTTAAGGACCCTATTACGCTGGAAGGCCTCAGCCAGCACTGGCGGCCCAGCCTGGTTTAACTCCACCAGCACATTCTGCTCGTAACGACAGCAAAGCTGAAGGTTTTTGTCTCAAAGCGCTCGTGACACCTATCAGAGTCCATTTGTAACGTGGGCTAGAGCAGTGCGCGGTTTCTCTGGGTTTTATTTGGGGAGAGAGGGGGTGTCCATCTTCCCCCCGACAAATGCACTATTTTATAAAGACATTCACTCGATCCAGATTCCATTTGTACAACATGGCAATTTTTGTTCAGCATTTCAATGTGCCCCTAATTCAAGAGTGTAAACACACACCAACTTCTGGTCCCACATCTTTTTGAAGCAAAAAACAATTAGAAGCTGCAAATATGAACAGCACAGAGATACTAAATCCCAACCACTGCATATGTATCTTTAATGTTGTTATTTTCAAGTGTTATATAATTAAACAACGTGTTCATACAGCTGTCAGGCAAATCATGATCTCCAAGCTTTTATTACATGCCTAGAAACTATTCTGTAAAAGTGTCTTCTACTGCCAGATACTAAATACAAAAAAATACACTATCCACGTAAGACTAATTTTTTTACATAATAGATTCTAATTCTGATTGGCTGAACTGCAGCAGATGCCTCTGAATTTCTACAATTGGCTATTAAAAAAACAACAAAAACAAAACCAACAACAACAAAGAAACCCCACACCCCACACAAACCCAATAACAAAAAACCCAAGCTTCCAGAGCAGAAGCATGCCAAAAATGAGAACGACTGCACTGGTATCACTCCAAGCAAATCCTCACTTCTCAATACGTCGAGTTTCTTGCAGGTACATGACACCAAAACCAACAAGACAGCTTTAAATCTGATGGAAGGCATCTCCTGGTTAGCACCTTGGAGCAGGCTTCTGCCATTCTCACTCTCGTGTCTTGCTGCGATGTGGTACCATGAGTTCCAGCACTGGTTAGAAGGCTCCTCTCCGGTAAGCATTATCAGCATGGTGAACACACACACACGCAGCCTCTTGGGCAGCACTGATTCAACTCAGCAAAGCTGTTTTCATTGGAAAGTTTACAGGATTTTTAATACCAAACCGCATCTGCAGTGCTCTTCACACCTCTGTAGCTGGAAATTTTCAGTCATTAAACACTCCTCAGATAGAGGCACACACAAAAGGCTGTGTAAGATCACATTCTTAAAATCTGCTTCCTGAGTGACTGGAGTCTGTTTAAAATTGTGCAGTTCAAATTTGGGAGTTAAGCTGCTTTTGTGTAGTCAGGTGGACACTGATCGCTCCCATAACTCTGAAAAGACAGTAGTCTTCTGCGTTACTCTGTCCTTAACTAAGAGAGCCCTCCAACCTTGCACTGCCATCCTACTGCTCCCAAATCAGGCTTACTAGTCATGGCCAAATCAGATGTCAGGAATGCTGCTCAGTTAAAAACGATCTTGCAGCTGCAAATACATCACGAATGCTGCGCACAGTCCATAGAATTACTGCATTTCCAGCCACCTAGTCAAACATCCCATACAGCACATAAAAAGGACAATGCATACCAAAGGAACGCTTTTTCTCCAGCTGTTCAACAGGATGGTGAAGCTTTAAATGAAACCAAGGACTGTCTTAATTACCAATGCTAAACTGTAAGTGTTTTGCAAGCAGCCTCTCTATCTAACGTTAGCATAGCCAATAAGTCTGTACCAACACCACTGCATGACCATTCACTATGCAACACTCCAGGTTTCCACTTCTAAATAAGCAGCAGTGAAACAAGTAGGCAATGCCAGTTTCTAGCTCAATACTAGGTTTTCTCAGTTGTTCTCAAGTGTTTTTAGAAAACAAAAAAAAAAAGAAAAAAAGGAAAAAAAAGGGGGAAGGGAAAAAAAGACACACACATAGAAGTAGTAACAAAACATTAAATTGCCTCTCCAGGAACCAGTTTACGCAGACTATGAAGTTTAAATCTGTTCTTAAAATTACCTTCAGATGCTTCTGAAATACATTACCTTAACTCAGAAGCAGTGATTCCTGTCTCCCAAATGAGTATATGCTTATTAGCTGGCTATACTAATGGCCACTTACACATTTTGCAGGCTGCTACATAGTGCTTTACACTTTACTCAGCTCCTTCAGTCAAGCAAAGGCACACAAAATGTAATCTCAACTTCTCTATCACATGCTTACCTTGGCTTCACCTGTAAATTTTAGGGGTACAAGAGTCAGTCTAGCGTACACTAGTCAGTTAAGGTCTTCATGTTATTCATGTCTAAAAATGGTGGTTTTGCAGAGTCACAATCTAGCAAAGCCTGGCAACATTAACCACCTATTGTACTAGGTGACACCATGGGAGAGCACATCGCAGAACCTAATGCAGATTTTTTGAATCGAACATACACCAGTTCTGACAAAGATCCATAAACGAACAGGAGAGCTAGTCATACAGGCTTCTGCAATGGGAAACCTGATTGATACAGCAGCAGCAGAAATTCCCAAGACATCATCTGTGGATCATCCCAGAGGTTAACTTCTCACAGGCAGTTCTCATTTCTGGTTTGAGAAAACACAAGGCTAGAGAGGCAAAGACACTAACCCCGGTGGGGGAAGGCAACGTTTTCCTTAGGTTTTCTCAGAAACACAAGATGCACTTACCAAATTACAAACCACTAAAATTCACCAGTATGCTCCTATTACCCTTCCTAGCTGCTGTAGTTTCTTGGAGGCGGGCTGCAGTTTTAACTAGGGGAGCACACCATCACGCTAACGTAAATTCAAAGCGGTCCATGAAATTATATTCCTTCCAAGATACATTTCCTACCACAGAAAATGCTGGCTACCAGAGCTCCTCTGCACAGCCAGGCTTTTTATTCCTAACTTACAACCATCATTTCACTAGTTATTTTTAAAGCCAGATTTTTTTCTTAGTATTACCCCAGTGTATTTTTTTATATTTAGTATTTTTTGTAACTGTATTTGTGCAAACTAACCGTTCATTTGGCAAATGCTAGGAAACTTTAAAAAGTGACTGACCCAAGTTGATGCTTCCCTCTTAAAAATATAAAAGCAACTATGAAAAGCTGAAACAAATGGCAACAGACATGCAACTACTTGCCAAGCACAGGTTCTTTGTAATTTTGACATCACCTTCATCATTTCGCTTTAGTAACTAGAACTTCACCATCACTTTTCTTTATAAGAAATATCTAGTTTTGAAAAATTCTATATTAATTTCTAAAAAAATAAGACAAATATTTGTATTAAAAGCTGGAGATCATTGATTTAGTAAGTTATGGCTTTTTTTAGTGTAAGCATATATATATTTTTCTAAAACAAGTATCAGTAAGTGTCCTGGGTGTTAGTTCATATTTTCTGTTTCCAGCAATATTCAGTATTGTATGTGCTTTGCACCTCAGAAGTGAGTCTGCCAAGGCACTTAGAGAATGTAAGCAAGTCTTTTAGGGACTTCATGAGAATGGGCTACCACTGACACAATACAAGAACCCATCCACCAGCAAAGTCAATCCCCCAACCAAGCATATTTCCTTTATAAACACTCAGCACCTGCTAAAATTCCACAATGAATAACAACAATCAAAAAAAAAAAAAGCGCCATTTACCACATGTCACTAATAGATAAAAGATTTCCCCTAATAAAAGCACAAAAAGTAGATCTTGGCTGTCATTAGTAACAGCACGGGGCTTTGTTTTGTTTTTTAAAAAAAACAACTGAACAAAAAAAAAATAAAACTACACGCTTGCTTAAAGAAACAAGTGACTTCAAGAAATCCTCTTCCTTTTATCTGTCCTTAGAGGTGAGTTTTTCAATCAGTTCTTGAAGTGGTGCAAGTTCTCTTCTATCAATAAGGTTGAATTCCTGTAACAAGGATGAGGAGAGAGACATACATACACAGTTTTATATGTGCAGCTCCGGTCAGAAGTCTCATTGAGATAGAAGTTATTTGGTAGTAGGGTCTTCAAGTCCAGGCTTAGCCACCACAGCATTTTCTGCCTGTCTCCCGTTAGCTGAATAGCAGTGTTCGACTGCGTAAAGATCTTTCCCTTACTTAAAGGAAGGAAACATAAGAAGATGCTTTCTTTTTTTTTTTTTTTTAATAAGGGGAAGGGGCAAATGTAGCTTTGAAGCAAGCACAGTCTTTTCAGTCTAGCTTCAGATGCCGTCCTCCCTCTTTCTTTTGTTAGGAATTACTGTTCTACTGAACTATTTGTTCTACCTTTCTACTGAATTACTGAAATATTACTAGACTTTTCAGCCTTCAATTTTGTAGCAAACAAGTAGTTTGTTGAAAACTTTTCCATTCCTTGAATTCTTCTAGCAGTAAATATACATAAAAATGGAGTAAGACACTATCTTACGGTCCTGGAGGTGTTGACTCTCCTACAAACACACTGGCTGTGAAGAAACTGAAGGGGCATTACTTTCATACATTACTTCTTCCAGAATATAACTGTAACCCTAATGCTCCTGCCACACTTACCTGAACAAAAAATATAAAGTGCTTGAAAGAAGTGTTAAGGTGCGCCTCTTCCTGTAGCTGGATCACTGGATCAAAGTGCTGGTGATAAATGTGAGCATAAACTCTGAACAGACGCTTTAAAATCGTCTTTGCCACTGACATGAAATTCTTTGGGAACGGTACACCTAGAAACAAGAAAAAAGATGGCTTATTTTTAAACGCCCATCACAGGTTCATGTCTTTTGAATGCCATTATAAGCCAACCCTACCTCCTGCACAAGAGTCGCTGTTCTGTATCACTCTGCAATTCCACCTGAAAATCACACAACGTACTTAGGCTGAAGCACAACACCAAGCTCACTGAAAGACCAGAGGGGAGGTTTCCCTCACTTCAGTAGACCAGTGGCTCACGAACTTTTTCCAAGACACATCTGACTACATTTCTATGCTGAACCCTCCTAGTTTCAGCTTCCAGCTACTAAATCTTGTTATGCCTCAGTACAGATCCCTGAAGAGCCTTTTCTGATCAACAATCTTCCTCCCTTCTGGTAGGATTCAGATACCCAAACAGAGGTATCTAATGCACTTACAGATGCCCTCTCAGTACCCACGTGGCCTCTGACTGCCAACGCAGAAATGGGGAAGTCTCCTGCAGGGTCTGAGTCTCACCACAGGCTCTGCGCATGTGTCCAAGATACCACAGGGTACTCCAAGGGACACCAGATACTGTTGCGTAGGTAACTGAAACCACCTTTGGTATCAGATATTGAGTTTCATGCTTCTCTTGGCTAAAGTGAAATCAGAAAATAGGCTCTCTTCCACCTGTTTCATGCCAAGCAAAGCGACTCCTGCTTCCATCCTGCTCATCACCATCCCTTAGCCAGAGGCTACTGCGTTCTTAACTGCCTGCTTACATACTCTAAAACATGCTCCTATCAGTCATTTCAGTGAAAATGACCCAGGACAGGTAAAATCAGTTTCAACAGCAGATCTTTGTCAGTGCACAAGTTTTATTAAAATTGGTTAGGAAACAGCAACTGGCTACTGGGAGCAATAATCTCTTCAGTTGACACATCTGCAGGCTAAAAAAAGATATGTATCAACCATCTAAAAAGATTAAACCTGTCTAGCTTCTCATCCCGTAGCAGTTTTCCCAGTCTGCTTAGTTCTTTTGCGGTCTCTCCAACTGCTGGTCCTGTCTGAAGGCCAGAGGCCCAAGCTGGATGCTGTAGGCCAGTCATTATCTCACCAATGCTTTGAAACCCTAGCAATGAAATTTTCATACTCCTACTTAAGCTTTCCCTGCTTACATGTACAACACATTTCCTTCACTGGCCGCTGCATTAGATGGGAAGTTCATATTTAGTTGATGATCCACTGTGGCCTGTAAGTCTCTTTCTGAATGGCTATCTTTCAAAAACACATCCTATTAAAAAAAGAGTCTTCAGTAAAGTATATGCTGCAGTTGAAGAAAGACCAAGTCCTGATGTAGTCTTCTGAACACCACTTTAGCTGTAACTATTCAATATCATTCCTATTAGAAGTGGACTTCTACCCTAGCTCTGAACTCTACCCTGCAACACTGAAATGAATGCCACAGTATGCAAAGAAACCATGCTTGCATCTACTGAGCTGGAAAGATCTAGCTTTTTGTCACTTCTTCCCAAACCAACCAGCCGTCTCCGCTTATCTGCTTAACTGTAAGTAAAAACAAATGCCACTTGATTCTGACAGGTGGCCCTGTTTCTCTGAAGAAGCTTACTGAAAATGTGTCAAATGCTTCAGAAACTATTCACAAAATACAAGCAACTAAGAGATCTCGCTTCTTTTTTCCACAATGGATCATCATAAGCCTATCAGCAGTGGTGTACTGGAGAACTGCCAAATAGGAGCTGTGGAACAAACAGTCCTTCGCGCCTATAGCAGCAAGGTTTTCTTCTTGTTATCATTCCTGAACTGGTGGTCGTTCATTATTTTCCTCCTGCTTTTCTGGAAGAAACATCTTAAAAATATACATCTTTCATCTCACTTGAAAACAAAAAAAAATCATTAGCTTAAGACCAAAGACACAATTCAGGCTTAGGAGAAGTTCCTCACGAGGGCCACACATCTTTCCTGCATCAAAAAGCTGCCAGTTTGTACCAATTACTACTTATAAAGTTTTGAGACCCTCTGCCTTATTTCTAAAGAAATAACCCACTGTTCAAATTGAATAAAACATCAGATTTGATCAACACAGTCAGTTATTAAATAGAAACAGTACTTCCTGCATTCAGAATTGTGATATGTCTTTTTGAGGAGTATTAACACACGGATCAGAGTTCATGTACTACCACATAAATTTTATCTTAAGAGATAAAAGTGCCTTTATATATATATATAATGTAACCTTTTAAAGTTGCCCTACTCATCAGTCATTCAGGAGACCTTTCAATGCTGTAAGACTTGAATATTCCTGTACAACTGTAATCCAAATACATTGTTCAATTTTACTTATTTACTTTACCTATTTTAGAAGGAAACAGCGTTTCATCATCCAGCTGATCCTGGACCCAAGTCATCAGGTAATCAATGTACTTTGGTGCAGAGCACTTAATTGGTTTCTTTATGTTTGTCCCATCTGCCCAGTGGTACTCATATCTGGGTTGGGACGACAACAACAAGACATTTCTTAACACAAGTGAATCATTCAAATCAAGGCCTGGAAGGCTGTTCTTCCTGCTCCGCTCCCCGTACTCCCACACCCTCCCACAGTCCTTCCTCGAAACTAAGGTCCAAATGCTCCTGAGTCATCTGCAGCTGCTCTGTATCCAATCTCCCCACTGCAACCCTGCTTTAGCTAGACTCTCTTCCGCGGTCTGCGAAGGCCTTCATAAATGTCATCCTTTATAGCACAATTCACTCATCCTCGGTTGCAATGCTCCTGCCAAAATGCACATGGCAGCTTGCAGCCAAGCCTGCAGCCCTGTATAGCAAAAGGTGCAGTATGAGCAGGTTTCCAAACCCTGAAAGGCCAATAGCTACTTTTTCTTCTTTAAAGCCTCCCCCACCCACCCCCCAGGAAAAAAACATTACAGCCTGTTCAAGTGAAACATCAAAAAGTTACATGAGATTCTGACACAAATAAAAGCTAAGCTCTAGGACCCAAATCAGTGAAGGTATCTGATTGATTTCAAATGCGAAATTTCATCTAGTGAGCCACAACAATGGGCTTCTCTTCAACTCCACTGGCCGAGAACAACCGCAAAGCAAGTAGCAATGCTCAGCATCTGCAGCAGCTGCCAGCCAGACACATTAGACATTCCAATTTATGGGATTTCTTTCCATTTGAAAGAGATTCTTACAGATTTTGCATAACTGAAGACCAAACTACATGAGGTCTTGCCAGAGATCCCAAATTTCAATTGCATTAGAGACACGGAATAGATTCAGAGGTAGGTTAATGCCAAGGAATACTATTAAAAACTGGAAGCTGGTATAACGTGCCTTTCAGCTAACAGTTAGAAAAAAGCTTCTACACAAAATAGTCCTCCTTAAAAGGTTAATATCTGAAGGTCTAGTGCTACCATGCAGCACACCAAGACTCAGAAAAATCTCCGTTTCCAGTTATTCCACTGACCCACTTGATAGCTGCAGGCCAGTAACTATCTTTTAGCTTAATTTTTCCATCTGCAGATGAGGTGATATCACACCTTTACAAACCACTAACATGACTATGGAACAGTAAAACATGTGCTCTTTTTATCCTTTTCCACTCAGAGCTAGTGATGTTGACATCTTTTATACAGCACCTTTAATGAGTAGATTCCAGTGTCACTGATTTTACAGTTATTTTAACTTCAGGAATTTAAAAAGCCATGGAAAAATGGTATATATTAAATGCTGTATTAAACAGCATCCATTTACATGCACAACCAGAGAGAAACAAGTCCTCTTGAAATTAGAATGGAACAGAGATTTTGATTGGCTTGGCGAATGCCACTGACACAAGGCCAGGCACAGGAGAACGTGGCTAATGTTGGTAACATACAGCTTAAAAAAACCAAACGTGTTTAATCGGAAGTCTGACAATACCAGCTTCTAAGCGAACCACAGTGTTTCTTTCTATGCCTTGCAGAGTACAGATACACATATCTTAAAATTCCTTGCCAGTCCCTAACATCTGAGCAGTTTCTTCTCATCAGTACAGAGCCGTGCCTAGCTCTCTCTTTTAGATAAGAACACAGCATAATCTCCCACGTCGGTTTTAAATCAGCCAGCCTTGCCCAGCCAACCGGCACTGCTGCAGAACAGCTATCCATGGGGCCAGCCTGCTGCCAAGTCAGAAGTGGAAAGGTCTGCTGAGTTCTTCGGCTCTGAAATCCTCCCAGAGAAACAAATTAACAAAGCCTCAGACTAGCTGCAACACTCCTCTTCTAAAACATTTTAAAACACACAAACAAACAAAACGTACAAGGATAGCACTCAGGTGTCATGTGTTTACAGGAAACATACCCACTTCATCTACCAGTTTTTTCTCAGTTCTTCTTAAAAGAAGTAGAAGAGATGTTATTAATGGTTAATATTTCTTCTTTTCATGGAGGACAGAGTGCTCAACTTGATTGTGATTTCTTAGTATGGTAGTAGCATACCACAATGTTTGCGTTGCAACCACCACTGTCTAAACTTTCCCTTGCTATCTCCTGTTAGTACTGTGCGGACACTGAAGCAGGTCTTTTCAAGATCATACACATTTTATGCAAAGCTTAACTGTATCGGATAAATCTGGCCTCTAGTTTTGTTTAACAAAATCAGTTTTGTCAGAACAGTAACTTGCAGAACATCTTCACAACAAACAAATTTTACACGTGATTACGAGGGTCTGCTCACAATGGTATAATAAGATCCCATTTTCATAACGGCAACAAATCAGAGGGTCTGAAAGCATCTAAAAACTGTACCTCAAAACACATGCAAAAATTCTGTACACACTGAATGGACCACCACGTGTCTGGATTTATGAAAAATCACTATTACTCTAATACTGAGATTTAAGTGGTATTAACATAGGATAAATATCAACACTTAATTGAGGTGCCAAGTTCAGTCTGGTGACAGTAAGACAACAAACTAAATTACATGCTAAAAATCTCATCCAAATAACATATATCCATAAAAAGCCTCCCTCCCTCACTCCTCACCCCTCGACACTACGGGTTAATTCTGCATTTTTTAGAGTAAGGAATGACATAGAATGACCCTTTAAGTAACAGACCTCTTAAGAAACAGCAGACATATCCCGACCAGAAAAAAAAAAAAGTAACATAGAAAATCTGAAAGTATTCTGGCAGACACCCCATGCTCCACACAGTGGGCGTACTATTCACATTTGTTCCTAGAATGTCAAAAGGCTGGGGGTTCGCAAAGGAGGGGAAAATTAAGTCTTCCTACAAGATTAAATACATCACTGAAAACAAATCAAGAATCCTAGGCCAATGTCTTAAACAAAAAAAGAAAACCAAACACACAAAGAAAAAGAAAAGAAAAAATCCCACATATTATAATCCTTTGAACTGGTATAGGAAATGAAGGGTGAAATCACATTTCTAGCTCAAGCCTGTGAGCAAACACCTACAGCTCTGGTGATAGAAGCAAACTAACCTTATTACGATAGGCAGTTCCTCTACAGAAAATAAATTTTTAGAAAGCTCTACAGTTTAGTAGAGGTTTTTAAGGGCAAAACAGTATGTGAAGGATAGAGCAAGAAATATACAGTTTACTTCAGCAAGTGCAAGGGAAAAGCTAAGAATCCTTAACGACTCTAGAAGAATTCTCTCATATTAATAAACACAAGTTATTTACCAGCTATAAACAGAAAAGCTCACTAGGCTTCTCACACTGGAAAATGTCCCTAAATATAAACAATCACAGGAGCAGCTCCTCTACCACACACGTACATGTACATGGCCTAAAAAACCAAACACCCAACAAAACAAAACCAGCTTGACTAAAATTAAAGCAGTTACCATGTCCAACAGCAATGAAATGCAGTAGCTCAGTAATGCCTTTTTAAAGATTCTCAGACATGTATTTGGACCTATCATCTCTAAATCTCAGCAATACGGTATCACATCAAGACTGCTGAGAAATACTGTTCTGTCCCTCAGTCATCAAGCAACACAGGCACAGAGCAGAGGCAAAAGGATTGATATTGCTAAGAGACCGAGGGTATTTCAAGGACCTGATCACATGATTTCTTTCTTTTTTTGCTGCAGAAGGCAGCACGCGAATATTCCATTACACGGTATTACGCCCATGTAGGATTTATGGGAGCTGTCCACTCCAGAGTGCCCAGCTATTCCAATCTGAACATACGAAGACTGAAGCACTGCAGACCAACCAACATCAGGAACATCAGAAGGATCTCACTACCATTAAGAGTGAGCTTAGTGCACAGACATCTAAATGTGGATTTCAGAGCCCCTGTTCAAACATCCAGCTTTGAAAAATGCAGCAGCCACATCCCTCCTTTGTGCTCTTACTGAAGACTTACAACCATGGAGGAAAATAAAGAAAATTCCCCTCACCCAATGCTGGTTAATAAACATACTACTTCTACACAGGTTCTTAACTTATTGTCATGCCTGCTGCACTGATGGTGATACTGCAAACGATGTAAGAATAGCAAAAACTGATAACCAACTAGGGTTTGTTTGGGCAAGAAATGGTTGGTCTTTGCTGAAGTGAAAAAAATGGAACATTACCACAAGTAATGGTATGTTTTGTAACAAGTTAAACCAATGCTTTTTTCAAATTGTTAGATAATGAGCTGTACAGCAGGAGAGGGAGATCTGTTCTTGATCTTTACGTCAATCCTTAACTAACTCGATGTACTAACACTCTGATAAAAGCTAAGTCAGCAATCCTTCCAACAAAGACAAGTCCGGAAGAAATGAAAGTGATCCCACAGCACACAAAAATTTACCTGCCTCAGCTAAGCCCTTCCACTAAAATCGTTATCAAAAAGAACCAGTGGGCTGGAGAAGTAGCCAAACAGCCCCAAGCACTTGCTTAAAGGTAGCCCTCTAAAGAAGACAATCCTCCCTGTAACAAAAATAAACCACAAAAAGCAGACACGCACCTAGGCAAGCTGTCTGTCTTCAAGGGTCCTTTTTTTGGGGGTTTTAAAGATAATACACCAGTACCAGGCAGTGGATACAGCAAACATCACACTTCTGCTCTGGTTACCCTCTCGACATCTGGTTTAATGCTTCCACAGACTGCTACAAGTTTGTCAATTATGCTATGAAAATTGTGACTACACCCCAACGAGTTCTAAACAGCCACTTAAGTATGCACCAGCACCTTACAACCCTTTTTTAATGTATCGACGATAAACACTTTTCCAGCAGTAACACAAAAATCAGACTTTAGAGCCATAGCGTGCTCGCTGCTTTTGATCCTCTCCAGCTACTCATGCCACAGCTGCCTAACCTGTTCCAAATGACCTTGTGCAAGTTGTTTCAGCTAACTGGTACTCTTTTGTCTGAAACAGATGAGGATGCAATACTGGTGGCAGCTCAGTCATGGATGTGCTCACATGAGAGCAACCTTCAGGCTAGAAGCACTAACCAGCACCTAACACCCAATGCCTCCCTCTTCAACTAATATGGCTTGAGCCAGAATAGAACAGGAAAAAGAGGTAAAAAACAGAAAAAAACCAAAAAAACCCAAACCATAAATATCAGTGCTTTCATCCTGACAGGTTTTCGAGCAGTACTTCCCTGAAAAAATATTTTGCAGGCCACCTTTTAAGTGAAAGACAGACACACTCTTTAAAACTGAAAAACACTGTATACGCTCCACTGCTGGTCACCACCAGCCTCAGAAATCTCCCGTTCCTGTGCCTGCCTGGCCTCGGCCACTCCTGTGCACACACACTTCTGATCCTTTGATAAAACCCATTCCTGAGCACAGGTGGGGGCTGCAGAGTTTGGGGAATGCTCTACAAATCCTAGGGACAAGATTGCCTAATTAAAACCTTGCAGAATGCATCTTCCAGCCTCTAGCATCTCTTTTCTACCCTGCTTCGTAACTATTCTGAGTACGACACACATTTCTGTCAATGGTTATCTGTCTCTTTGGAGAGAAATTAATTGTTTAGTCTGGCAACTAGACAGCTAAGCCGTTAATAATTAGCCTCCACCCCCAAGTAACTGCTTCTCAGCAGACAAACAATAAAGCAAAGAAACATTTTGAAGCTCTTATTAAATAAATAAGAGTCTGTTCTGCATGCTAAAGCACAAAGCAGACAATGGGCTATGGTATTACACAAGCTTTTCCCAAAATTCTTTTGCATAATGGTAAACTTCTATTCCTTTTGTATTTTCACCCCTCCCCACTTTGCAGCAGCAGGTCTGCCTGCCCACGCTGCTTTTGGCATTCAGCAGAGTCCATTTTTAGTTTAAGAACATAGCACCAAAGCTTTTCTTGGTCCATCAACTGCTTTCATCCTGCAGAGCTCCTGCCCTCTCCACCTTGCCCTCCCAGCATCACCCTTTTGCATGTCCTCAGCTCTCCACCACATTGGATGGCAATTACTGGCTTCAGACAGTAACAAATATCATTATAAAGGAGGAGGAAGTGGAGGAGAGGATTGTTTTTCTTTGTTGTTTATTGAAGATTTTATAGCAATTTAAAAGGAAGCAGTGCCCTCCCCCACCACTCGCTTAGAAATAAAGGTATTTTCCTCTTTGGAAGACAATAAGCAACTGGAGAGCAAGAAAAAACACAAATGTTGGATCATATAATCACAGAATGGTTTGGGTTGGAAGGGACCTTTTAAGATCATCTAGTTCCAACCCCCCTGCCATGGGCAGGGACACCTTCCACTAGACCAGGTTGCCCAAAGCCCTGTCCAGCCAGGGAGGAGGCATCCACAGCTTCTCTGGGCAACCTGTGCCAGTGCCTCACCGCCCGCAGAGCAAAGAATTTCTTCCTTGT